GAAGAGTTAAATTGGTCATACGGTATGTACTAGATAACAAGAGCCATGTTCCTATCCCAACTCGCCACATTCTCAGGTTGGTTACTTACATTATTAACCAAAGAATCCTCCATCTTTGCATTATTAGTAGCCACAGTGTTAGGCAGAGAAGAGGAAGGTGTAGTATAGTCTGTTACAGACTCCTGTGAAGTAGTAACAGAAAAAATACGTTTTAAACTGAATTAATGAGTCATTTTATAATGACAGCCTAACTGCTGTAAAGTTGTTTTGGAAGAAAGCAGGATTGGAGAGCAAACCTTAAGACTCAACTCACTCAAATCTCAACTTGAAGACCAACAGTGGGATAAAGCAAACATGAACTCATCATTGAAACAGCATTTCAATTACTGATGGGGTCCTGCACATTTTAAAAAGTGCACTGCACAGAACTAGGAGGTGGTCAGTGGGACTAAATGTTTACTTCTGTGGATTACTAAAAGGACTCTGTGTGGTTCTCATACTCAATCTATCATAATCTATATCTTACTTTCAACTACTGATTTTTTATTCTCTTCGAAATAAAACTATGTAGGATAAGCTCCTTGTTTATAAGCATGAAACTCTTCTCTAAATATGGTAGAGCAGAATCACATGAGCTTTTACTTACATGCACTGAGTTTCATGGCAATTAAAAAGAGAAAAGTATTCGAATAATGTGAAAGATTCCATCATCCATCTTTCTTCTCAATGAGAGTATGTCCCGGAGTGAACGTGAACTGGCAGATACAAATTTCCTATTCCAACAAGTGTTAGTCCCTAGAAGTCACTCAGTGTAACCTGCCTTAATGCATATTTTTTAAACATATGCATCATTCATTCAGTTTGGTCCCTAAGCGCAAGTCAACGACTTCTCTGGTGCTCAGCCAACAGCACAGTGATCTGTTCCAACCTCGGAAGAAAACTGGCTCTGCTGAGGTTCCTAAAGTTTGCCTTATCCTCTGACTTTGAAATCTCACTGGTGGGCAAGATAAGGCTCCACTGTAACTCCATCAACGGACAAAGTACTATAGAGCACTTCTTTCAAAGCCTACGAACCCAATGAAAAGCATTTCAATCTTGTGTGTAGGCATTTTTCATTTTAAACTACTGACTGGTCCAGAATTAAGAGTAATTTCAACAGAAAAAAATCTTACTGTAAGGAACTGCATTAGATCATATGCACATGAAATATAATCTCTGTAGAAATAATAATCCATACAGTGTACAGAACGATATGCCTCAAGCAGAGCGTCTCACTGCTGTTTTAGACGCAGTCTGTACCACCTCAACGAGGAGTCGCTGCCTGACGCTCACCTTCACGTTAGCGCCATACTCTGCAGATGACACCGAGATCATTGTTCCTATCTCAGCAGACATTTCGGAAGCTGCTTTGGTTTCCTTTGCTGTCACAGGATCTGCACTTCTGACGACAGTGGGGCTTGGTTTCTCTTGTCCTTCCGGTTCCACTTGTTGGGCATCTTTTACTTTTCTATTTTTTAATGATCGTTCCTTTCCAATAGGACCAGGTTTATGCTCTTTGTTTTCTACTGGACTCAAATCCGGAAGCTAAATTCAATGTTGATAACAAAAAGGGATCATGATGAAAGGCATTCGCTGAAAACAAAATTCAACTTAAAACTGTTACTTGTCCTCCACAAGTGTCAGCGGCTTTTATGCAATTACATTTGGAACAGGAATTATATTTACCTTCTGGGCTTTGATAGGGCCTGCCCGTGGCTGCTTCTGCCGTTGTTCTTTAGGTTCGGGTATTTTGTCAGTAGTTTTTTCTGAAAGCACAGGAACAATTTCGTTTTCATTCCCGTTTGAAGCTGGAGCACCAAACTGAATTGTGTCAATTCCAATTTCAACTCCACTTTCTTGACCATTCTTTGTTCCCTGGTAAGAGAATATTTAAAAATTTGCTATCAAAACAGACTTCAAATATGACCGGGTGATTCTGGTAGCAGCACATATTTAAGAAGCGTAATGGGAGGTCTGAAGCAATCTACACGTTAACTGAGGTTAACTCACACAGATTGTGTTTGAAGGAAACTTCCCACTACTGACTTGTGTATACTAGAAAACAACTGATAAAATGAAAACTAGGACAAGACTTAAGTTTTTAAAGTCCTGGCTTTATGTGTCATGACCGTGATCACGGGCAAATCACCGCCTCAAGTTATTTCGTCATTTAAAACGAGGTAAAAGCAACAAAACACAAAGATACTACCAGCAACGAATAAACTGATGAATGAATGAATGAACGGGGACAAGATGGCAATACCAGTGTCACCTACTTCTGAGTGTGCTTTGAAAATGAAATGATATACACTGAAGTACTCTGTGACTGGAAATGGAGTGTACGCACCTTAGAAATCCATTCACCAATTAAACAGTACATTTAAGTGGCACCTTTTTTCTGCCTGGCATTGATGCAGACAGACACGAGCAATCAATCTAATGTGCTGAACTTGCATTATAGTGGATGGAGAAAATAAACAACTAAAAAGCCAAATAAGGGACATGCAAAAATTAAAAGTTAGGCCACTTTAGATTGACAGACAGAGAAAGGCCCTAGGAAGTCACACTGAAACGGAGTCTAAAAGACAAAATCAGTGGAAAGTGTTTCTGGCAGAGCGAACGCCTAGCGGAAAGGTCAGGAATAAAAACGGCGAGTGTGGCTGGGACACAGCGGGTACTCGGAACAGCAGTAAGATGATGATGAACAAGCAGAAGGCAAGATGACACAGGGCTCTGCAAGCCAGAAGATGTCTGTAACAATTATTTAATCTTTTCGTGGAAGAACAAATAACAAAACAAAACCAGGGACAAAGTTCAACTTCAGGCCTCACTACTTCGTATCAGTTTTGGCATCCCTAAACTCAGTATGTCAATCAAGTACTGTAATGTTATTGTTATATTTACCAGTGTAACAATGTCCACAGTATTAATAAGGCATGTCATTCAGATTTATTTAATATCTGAATATTCATGTTTAAATATAAACAAATATTATCAACATAACTGAGAATAAAATTCTCCATATGCTTTAGTTGACGTTAAAATTCTAGTCACTTCAGTATAAATGTAGTTAGTAGAAGAGCAAAATAGTGCAACAATTAATAACTAAAAGCTACTGATTTTATGTGTAAAAACAATTAAGAATTTGGAAAAATAGATTGTGAGTTAACAGGACTATAGAGAGTATTAGGCGGTTTTAGGGGGAAGAGTATATCCTTTGAAACAAAAAAATGTTTAGAAAATATAAGGAAAGATAATAAAGCTTAGATTATGTGAATCAGTGTAACATTCATAGTATTAAACAAAATACAAATCATTAAGAACTCTATTTCACTGTCATTCAAGAAATCCTATTAAGAAACTTTTTCCATCCTGTGAAATAAATCAAAAGTAAAATACCTTTTAGTATTGCAAACTTAGAGGGTGCAAAAATATCTTGCAGTTGAGACTGCCAAGAAATTATTATTCCTGTACTTTAATGTCTATTTAAAAAACTAGGCCAAACATTTTAACAAAATTATTAAATCCACTGCGACATCCAAAACAAAGAAAAAGAAACATTCCATTTCACCCTTGGTATCAGTGTGTAAAATCTTGAACTACTTTCTATATAAGAGTTGCTTTATGACTAATCGTAATGTCAATACCAACAAGAAGAAAGAAGAAAAAGTAAACTGAGGATCTGAAATACTGAATCCAGTGACTGCTAATTCTATCTGTGCAAGGTGCTTCTCTGTAGAACTCTGTGGAACACGATGAGGCCTACCCCAGACCTAAGTCAAAGGTAGCGTGGGGAAGGGGCCGCAGGAAGGCTTCTTTAACAAAAACTCAACTCTTATCTTCATCTGCTGTATCATTTCTCTGCTCTCCATTTAGAACAGAACTCTCCTAAGCTCTCTATTCTCATTTTGCCTCCTATTTCCTCTTTCATCCACTCTAAGGCCTCCACTTCCCCCATTTATAGGCCCATAGTTAGAACAGTGCCTGGTATGTTGCAAGCGCTCAACAAATGTTTGTTCGATGAAAAAAATGGAAAAAATGCTAGTCATTTACCGATAAGGCACATTCGAGAAATTATGTTAGGACAACCTCCTACAAACTCTGCTTCTTTCTAAGTAATCATACAAGCTAAAAAGTGGTAAAAAGTCCAGAAAATACTAAGTGTCCTTATATTATTCTCTGCATCACAAGAACTTTCCCTGAGACTGAATTAAAAAAAAAAAGAAAATGTTAACCTTAATATGTCTAAAAACTAATAGCGGCCTAAAAAGCAGAACTGACACCTCTTGGAAACTTGTGAGAAACGTACTCAGGCCTCGACCTGGACTAACGCATCAGAAACCCAGGGTGTGGTTCTGGCAAGCTGCTGATTAAGCACACGCCTAGGTGACTAGCAGGCATGCTCAAGCATGAGAAACCGTTTGAAGGAAACTCTGCCAGAGCGACCCACCTAGGCCGTTAAGCTGATTCCTACCTCTGATGAAGCAGCTGATCCAAACGACGTTAGAGGCTTGTTCCAGGCACTGACCGAAGGCGGCTGTGGTGGGCTAATGGGACCTACTGAAGAGAGGAAGCCACAGGAAGTGTGACCATTAAAATTAAGAAGCTAATAATAGCTTATCTATTTAATCTTTTCTTTTAATGGTAGCTAGACAATAAAACAATGACTTCACATCCCACTTGAAGAGACTCTTACAAACCAAAATAAATATTAAGTCTCCCCAAAACACTGTGTATTGCTTTTCTTTATTAACATAAGATAATGTCCATAAATGTGGCTGTTTCAGAACTAAAGGCTTTAGGAAAGTTAGGAAAAAATTACTATTAATGTTTCCTACTAAGAAAAAGGAGATGGCTAGGAAAAAAAAAATGCCTTATACATAAAAACAACTCAAGACAAACCCCAATATTCCGATGCTATTCCCAGCCCTCACTTCTCTGTCACACACTTACATTTCTTTGAGATGTCATTCAGCACAGTTGGTGGGGCCACCTTGTTATCCCACAGTTCAGTTGCTAGAGTGCCATGTGACTGTGAGGTCTGGATGGCCTTTCCTGTGGCTACATAATCTGTGCCATTAGGTGTCTGGGCTGAAGGTAGTCTAATTGAAGGTGGTGGCTGTTTTGGAGGCTGTGCTGAAGTCTGTAGTGGACTCTGGACTGGTTTGTGAGTCTGTCCCTGAGTTTGGGCTGAGGCGGTGGGACCTGGGACACTGACTAGGGCTGGAGACGGGGCTGGGAGTGGGGCTTGGGCTGGGAGTGAGGCTGGAGTTGGGACTGGGGCTGAACTGGCTGGGGCAGTTGGGGTTGAGTTGGCTGGGGCGGTCGGGGATGAGTTGGCTGGAGCTGGAGCTGAAGTTGGTGCCAGGGCTGAAGCAAGGATGGGAATTGAGGCTGAGGTCAGGATGGGGACAGAGGCTGGGGTCGAAGCTGAGGCAAGGATGGGGGTTGGAGCTGGAACTGAAGAAGAGGGGGTGGTAGCTGAGGTGGAAGCTGGCACTGGCACCGAGGCTGACGTTGGTAGTGGCGTGGAGGGTGAGGTTAGGACTGCGGCTGAGGCTGGACCTGGAGCTGTGGCCAGAGCTGCAGATGGAGACTGTGCTTGCTGGGTCCCTGTAGCCTGCTTTTTCGCAAATCTTGGAGGAAGCTTAGAAGTCTGACTTCGTCCTTTTTCATTCGCATTCTTTTTGTTCCAGACCTTAACAAATTAGTAGATATCATTTTTGTCAACACAGCTAAAGCAACAGTTCATAAATACGATTCCTAACAAAGCTACCTACTAATTTAGCTTTTACTTTTCAAAAGAGGTCATTCACAGAGCAAAAATGTGAAGGCTGCTAATGAGATTTTAAATTATGAGAAGCCGAGATGCTCTTCATCACTATGATCCATGTGTTCTGCTTATTCCTCTCCTATGTCAGCATTTAGCAAAAGGGATGTTTGAGTTGACTTAACTGGAATAGATGTCTTCATTCATACTGTGTATTTAAGTGAACTGATTTAGATTACAACACAAACTTTATAAGAATCAGCAATTTATTAGATAGATCATGGTAGTTGTGCTTGTTAGGTTTCTAAGATAATTTAAAATGAACTCTAACTCTGACATGAAGTAAGATGGGACAAATAAGACGACTAGTATGGGAACAGAAAATACACTGTTGAATTAAAGATGGTCTACTCTAAGGCAAATAGTGATTATATTCTACTGAAAACATCTCCATTCTGGTTAAAAACAGTTTAAAGTTCTGAAAATCAAATCATTCTCAACACCTGAATAATAAACATGGCCTTGACTTTAAGCTAGACAGAGACTTGGACCATCTGCTAATTTATTTTGGGCAACAATCTAAACAACTAGCAACAAGCTAAAACACTAAACCTGTATGATCTGTTCTTCCTTCTTCCGGCGTTCCTCATCCTGTAAACGCTTCTGTTGTTTTTTGGATACCACTTCAGTAAAACCGTCATCATTCAAATTTGACTGTGGGTCTTCAACTACTGTCACTTCAGGATGGTCGTCAATTATAACAACACCTGTGGGCATGGAAAAAGATTAAAAATATATTTTTTCAACTGAAAAGATAAATAGAAATGTTTAGCCCAGTAGTGGTTAAAAAAGAAAAAAAAAAAAGGCAAGACAAAGATCTAGTTATTACAAATCACAGTATAACCCATTTCTCATTCCCTAAGATGGTCATTTATTAAGATTTGAAAAGATTTCATATTAAAAATATTTTTTTCAACTGAAAAAAAAAAAAAAAATGTTTAGCCCAGTAGTGGTTAAAAAAGAAAAAAAAAAAGGCAAGACAAAGATCTAGTTATTACAAATCACAGTATAACCCATTTCTCATTCCCTAAGATGGTCATTTATTAAGATTTGAAAAGATTTCATAGACTAGGTTAAAAATAAAAGTCCTAAAATGATCTGCATTGAATGACATATCTTTTTTTCTTAAGTAACACAGTGGTAACGTATTTTTTAAAAATAAAAATTTTCCTATTATCCTAGTCAAATCACCAACCTCTATCTCTCCCAGCCTCAGGTCTGTACTGTGCCATAAAGAACACAGCACTTTACCTCATCTGCATCTAGCCATTCTAAGAAGTGGGTAATACTACAACTTTCCTTTTTCAAAGGATAAAATAAGCGTCAAGAGGCCGATTTGCTGCGTGAGGTGGTAACTAGCCAAGTTGGTCTTATGACTCTTAATGCCTCTATTCTATGTAGACCTTTGTCTACAATGCGTAGTTGCTAAAAGCAAATGAAATTTATGTGAAAGTTCAGGTGAACGTAGTGACATGGAAGTGGATACAGCATAATAACCCAGCAGGCGAATAACTCCATATGTTGTACAACTAACAAGTCTGGCTATCTTGTTAAAGTTATCATATATCCCAGTGAGTGTAAGAAATCTAGATCCATTACATAATATTAAAAAAATTAAAGCAGTTCAGATGATGTGTGATTTGGGGTTGTACGTATAATGTCTGTACAATAAATGTAAGAAATGGGTGAGACAAATCAATTATTTTAACTTTGCAAAGAATACATGATTTAATCAGGGAACACATAATAAAAATCGGTAATCGCTTGGGAACGACAGATCCACAATTCAGGAAGGTAATAGCTTGTGAGGGACAGCAAGTGGATACGATCAGGGAGTGGCCATAAGCAATCTACCTGCCATCAGTTCTTTTTAAATAGCTAAAAATGTGCATTTCTGTAAACTGATAGGAAGACAAAAATACTAAGGCTGGCTTTCGCTCTTTAAAAACCCATTACAATTATTCCGTTTTTCTAATAAAAAACCCGATGGGTTTTGAATTATCGATGACACTTCTACTTGTGTTTTAAATCCTTTAAGGAATTAACTCTAAAATGGAGCATATGCTCATTTCAGGGAAAGGTCGTCTAACATTTCAAAGGATGCCATGTACTTCATTTCAGACTGGTGAAGACACCTCCTTCATAATTCTAAATTATTTTTTTCACTTAAGATTAAAAAGTGTGTGTGTAAAGCTTATATTCATAGCCATGCCATCACACATTATTTTAATTTTCCTGCCAAAGAGCTTCTTTACAATCTTTTGAAGTTAGTTCACCCAGCTACATGCACTATTTACGGAAATCTGAACGATACTTTGTTTTCATCACCCTGTTCTTGCCTGGTGCTTTGTAACATTTTGGGCTGAAGAGATATTACTTAACAAATGTTATTAAAAAAACCACATAGAGAGTACTGAGATTTAACTTTAATTAAACCACATAGCTCAATTTCCATCATCGATTCAGAAAACAGAGTTCTTACCTTTATATTGTCTTAATCCAGTAATATACTTTGAGAAATTTATACTCCAAAAGTTCTTTGGAAGAAGGGAAACCAGTAAACAAACACGTGGGAAGACAAATCTGCCGTGTTTTGTGGCTTTTGTCATCTTCACTTGTCATTTTCCAAATGTGGTATTTGGGATGCTCGTCTCCTCTCGTGGACCACCATAAGGTTAGCACTCAAGCTTCCTGGGGGCTTACTCTCACCATGCTAAGTCAGGGCTTTCTAACTTCAGCACTGTTAACAGTCCTGTGTGCTGCAGAATGCATCGCAGCACCCTTGGCCTATATCCACTGAGATGTCAGTAGCATCCAGCCCCAGATGAACCACTGGTCTATAAATAATGCCAAGGTCCTGGGCCCAAATCAAGTTTCGTATGTATAAATAACCATTAACTGGATGAAAGGAAATTCTCATCTACTTCTCTTATACTGGAGTAACGGTACTTAACCTGAGTTTCCCATTACTACTACCTGGTCTTAACTTAGTAAATCTCTAAATTTTATTCCATATTTCCAGTTTAAATCTCAACTGAATAAATGGCAAATAGCCCATTTTTACATGATGTGGCTATTCAAAAACATTCCTTAACTTCCTCACTAAATAGTTTCTTATTGGCTGTCTCCTGTCCTATACTCTCTATTTACCATATCTTAGATTCCAGTTTTATCAAGGTCTTCACTCAGAGAGGTTGTTTCTTTAAGACACAGAATATGCACAGAGATGTAATTTTAGTTTAGGTTATATCGGTTAGTGATTCATCATCGGCCTCTATTTATCTCTGTCTTGTAAGTTCAACTCTTTCCTTCTCTGATGACTTTGTGCGTAGCATCTACCTCTATGTAACAAGCGAACAGACAGATGGATAAGTAAATAAAAGTAATCTAAGACATACTTGCATAATTGTTGAGATCGAACTGTGACAGTGCATCCACTTTCTCTTTGGGTTTCTTAGGGCCTGGCTTGGGGTCTTCTCTTTTTTTCCCTGCAGAATCTTTATTGTTCTTCTGTCCTGTCCCATTAGGTGCTCCCTCCTGATGGTGTGCGGAGCTGCCACTGGGAGGGTCGACGCCCGCTGTGCCTGCAGACTGGTCATCAAACGGCCTACGAAATAAGACTTTGACATACTACCACCTCTACGCCCGAAGAAAAATGCTCTATGTTGGCGGGTTTCAAAGTTCAGTCTGAGAAGAAACGGTTGTGGGACAGAAGACCCTAACTCAAAGCCAACAAACCTTGGTGACTTTTGAGTACAACTTCACTAAAACTGAGCTTCCCAAGAAAGGAGAGAGGACTAGCTCCCTAGAGTACTTATTTCCAGCAATTAAATTCTATAATTCTAATTATTTGCTGAAGGTTCTTATGTCTATTTGTCTATCATCTTATTATAAATAAACGAGCTAACCAACCTTGTTCACAGCAGAAAATTTCTGTGATCCAAGCTAGTCGTTTTCACTACTGGATCTTCTCCACAAGAGGGCAGCATGTGAGAAAAAACTGATAGGCATTCTACCTCTACATTATGTGTGTTCTTTAATGTTCAGATTTATACATTACTGTAAACATACAAATCGACTTTTATATGGAAACAATTCACAAGCCAAATGTATTTCTACGGTTCTGTTTCCTAACAGATTCTATTCTTGGGTTCATTTTATAAAAATTTTAGGAAAATAAGCCACTACTTCATTTTCATCTTAGCCTATAGGATCATTCAAGATAAAAGCTTATCAAGCACCTGACACAAAGCATGACCTCAACTATCTGAAGGAGGTATTCACATCTTCTAAATAGGACTCCTGTACAAAACATTCATTTTAACTACAAGGAGGAATAAATGCTATTTCTTCAGGTTCAAAACTGTTAGCATCTACATGGCACAAAAACCAGATCAAGATCTCCCTTAAGTATTACCTGAAATTGTAACATTGAGTTACAGTCAATCACTATATTGTTACTGTAACTATATATGTTATCCATTTCTTTTGGACTTCAAAAGGAGGTTCAAGTTCTGTGTTAAGCAGGTTCTCAGGAAACACAACTGGTCACATTATTTCCCTGGAACTTTTTCTAAATTATCAGAAAGCAAAAATGTTTTCGATGATGGGTGTCATAACCTGAAATGCTAAGTACGTGCAACTAATCACTACAGGTTAATATGATATTGTCGGAATACATTTCTTATCAGCTCAGGCTGCTAAACCTGGGAATTTGGCTAAAAAACAAAATAGGGTGCACCATAACAACAGTAGTTTACTGTATAAATAATACCAGGTATTATGTTAAATGCTTCACAAATATCATGTCAGTTTTTATAAGTATTATTACTTTCTCCTCATTTTACTGATGAAGCAGCAAAGAGGTAATTACAACTAGATGGTAAATGAGTCTAGATATACAACTAGACATACTGCTATTTCATAGTTTTTCCTAATACTAAAGAAATCAATAACAACGTATTATGAACAACATTCTACTATTTAAAAGAATAGATTGTTTAGCACACTTTAGAGAAACTCTTTTTTAAAAAGTCCAGTGAGACAGTCTGTTTACTGGTGGCCTTGGTGGCTGGGCAGGACTCTGCTTTCTGGGTTTCTCTCGAGCTGGATCATTTACTGTAGGTTTGCAGCGAGAGGGGGAATATAATTTATCCTAAGGTTCAACATTTACTCTCTAAAAACCCATAGCGTGACGGAGTTTATGGTGACCAGTATTAATTTTAGTCCCAGAGGACACCCGTAGCACCAGTTTTGTAAGGAAACAAAGAAAAGAAAGGTGGGCCCTGGTCATCGCTGAGGTGATTCGGCGTGGAAGTCGGCGCGGCTGCAGCCCAGGGGGCGCCCGTTCTCCCCAAACCTGAGGCCTCTTTCGGGAGACCCGGCAAAGGCCCCGGAGACAGATGAACCTGTCCTGTCCTTTGAGCACCCTCGCACCTGGGGACCGCATGTGGGGAGCCGCAGCCTACTCTGGGCTTCCTGGGAGATGCAAAGCAAGCCTCGCTACCCGAGTACTCACCCTACCCGAGTACTCACCCGCGCTTCCCGCCCTTGGGGGGCGGGCCGCTTCTCCTGTCGCTCCTGGGACCCGAGAAGTTCCTGCCGGGCTTGGGGGGGCCGCCGTTGCCGCGCCGGTTCTGGCGGTCCACGCCGGGCCTCTGACTGGAGAAACTGCGCTTGGCCACGTCCCGCTTCGGCGGGGACCCGCTGTCACCGGCCTTGGCGGCGGCCTGCGCACTCACGTCGGCATTTTTTTTTTCGTCCCTCTCCCGCCGCTCGTTGAAGTCGCTGCTCTCGGACGCGGTTTCCCACTCCTCGTTGGCCTGGTCGGACGAGTTCTGGTTGGACAGGTCCGGCGTCTTGTCCCCGGGCGCGTCC